TTGTGGCTGTGTGTGTGGACGGACAGGGACCAGGTGCAGCCATTGTCTCCACTCGCTCGCATTCAGCTGCCTTGTGGGCAGACTCTTATCCCCCCCACCCCCCCACCCCCACCCCACCTCCATCGACGGCAAAAGGAAAAGATGTGTATTTCTGTGTTTATGTGAGCTGGGGCTGTCTTGGCCTGGAGGAGGAGTCCCTTACCCCCCCCCCCCCCCCCCCCCACACACACACACACACACACACACACACACTTCCCCCCACAGGTGACTGTTGGAGGTCCCAGCTGGCTTGCTCCTGGCCGATTAGATCCATATGGTACAGAAGGGGAACCGAAAGCCTGGATAATGTTCAAATTGATTGCTGTTGCTATTACTTAATTTTAAATTTTTTTTTTTTTACATTAGGTGACTGATTATATTAATTGTACTTTTTGGTCCAAACATGGTGAGGATATTGACTTTAATAGACCAATATCCAACCCTGGTCCTCGGGATCACCAGCCTGCAGGTTTTAGATGTTTCTCCTCAACACACCTGGTTGGAATCAGTCAGTGGTTAAAGTTTTTGTAGTTTTGAAAACAAACTGAAGAAACGATTCAGCCATCGAATGAGATATGTTGGAGCATGGAAACAGCTAAAATACTCCATATTGTATACTGCTGGTTGTCACAGTGATTTAAATTTAAGCCTTGTTTACTATTTTTTTATAACAAACTTTGCTTTCGTACCTGGTTTTATGACAATTTGTTCGCTTGCTTCCATTCTTTCATTGGGATATAAAGAGAGGAAGAAATTGCATTTTTGCCCAAAACATTTTAATATTCAAGGCAATTTACAGCATTTCCACATCAAATTTAATTAACCCAGTTGGGCCTGTGTACGTGTCTGTAGAGGGCCAACACCAAGTTCTGTAGTCTCGTTCCATTCCACAGGCCATGATTTCTGTTTACCCTCTTTGATAAACTAGCCGCGCCTGTGTTGTATCGCCTCTCACCTCATCTGTGTGACAGGACAGAGATAGCCGAGTGCACATCAGGCCAACCGAATGCCTCACAGCTGCCAGAATCCGAGTTTCAAAATAAGAGTTTAAGAGCTAGATGACCCCAACACAGAAAACGTGCATCACATTGTGTTTTATAGATGTCCATCAACACACAGTAAGTCAGTCTCGCCGTTCACGTTAAACAGATTAAAGTTTTTCTGATTCCAGTGGGTCATTGGGTTTCTGCCGTCGCTGATCAGAATTGATCACTTTCTCTCCCCTTTCTGTCCTCATCTCGATGTTTTCGCCTCATTTTGAATCATCACCTGCAGAAGCAAAGCCAATTAAAGCCAGCTGAATGTTTTAATGCAGACGAGCGTCACCTGAAGCTGAACAAACAAGGGACACCTGGCTAGCAACAGCCATCACCATAGAAGCGTTTTAGTTTTCCATCCCTCCAATAGCAGCTGTTCTAGAAAGCAAACAGATGCGTTTATATGCGTTCATATTTATGAGAAGACGTACAAAAGACGAGCAGGAAAGTGCGGTAGGAGAATGTGCAAATCTTTGTCCATGGTGACAACTTTACTTAAGTGTGTATCTTTACTTTAAAGTGATGTCTGTACATAATCACCATATTTTTTATTGTCCCAAAAGTGTGTGGTTTGGAGCTTTGTGTACCTTTCCTTTGTTCCATTACAGCGAGTATGACAGGTGGCATTTAGCCCAAACAGCCCGCATTCTGCTTTAAGCCAATATTCACCTGAGTTAATATTAGACCACTGTGTGTGTGTGTGTGTGTGTGTGTGTGTGTGTGTGTGTTTTGTGGTTGCAGTGATAGCTGCCTCCCCTGAACATCCTGTGACTATATCTGATGGACTCAGGTGCTCACAAGCCAGATGAAGTCATCCAGCTATGTGTGCTGTCTAATTGATAAGCAGAGGCAATTCTCTGCGGACTGTCAGCAATACACACGCACTCACACCTGATGTCTCCTGTTTCGGCCGTTACCTCTGGCACGACTAACAACACACTCCACCACCATCTTAAGATTGTGCGAAACGCAGCTGCAACCTAATTTCCTCGTTCCCTGCCGAAATGGGTCATGCGCTAAGTAATCGTCGTCATTCATTTTGACTTTGACGTGTACGCGTCAGTCAAACGCAGTTGGTATTTATGAGGGTCACTATTTATTTGACTGTACTAATGTGTTATTTTATGTAGACGTGCAAAAGTGTCAACAAAGAGCTTGTTAATTCATTTGAGGGCAATCCGAATGCCTAAATCCAAACTCTTGAGTGTGTGTGTGTGTATAGAATTGTTTACATGGTAACAGTGTTGACTCTAAGGCCATATGCCCCGTTGATTCTGTTATTGAGATGTCAGTCTAATTTCCTGGCCATACGGATGGAGTGTGGGGATCTTTGGAACCGGTGTGTGTGTGTGCCGCAGGCTGCTTCCTGCGGTGCGCTGGCAGGTCATGTGTGTGTGTGCTGGGTATGGCAGTCGAAGTCTGCAGAGATTTCTGCTTCCTGCCCCCTGAGTTGGTGAACAGGTGGAGCGATGGCAGGCAGACCAGAGGGTTGAGAAAGAATGGCAGGGATGGAGGCAAAGGAAAAGCGGTTGAGAGAGAGAGAGGGGGGGAGAGAGAGAGAGAGGGAGAGAGACAGAGAGAGAGAGAGAGAGGGAGAGAGAGAGATGTATAATGAGTTGTGGACTTGACAGATGAGTTGCGTAGGGCAGACTCGAGAGAGTGTGGATAGGACACAAAAGGCAAATGAAGCTCTGAGTGACGACAGGACTGCAGCAACTTTACAGCCTCGCTGTTCGCTTTGACTCAATTTTTTATTTGATGCCCTTATTTATACTTTTTTATACACTTTGGTTGTAAATAATGATTTATTCATCCAATAGCCTTTTTGATAGAGTGCATTTTGGATTACGCATTGATAAACATTTCAGTTCAAGCCTTTCTGAGCCTTATAGCTCAGGGCCACGAAGAGTTCATAGGTCTGAAAAAGATATGAAGCGTTCCATTGAAGCTGAAGTTCTAAAACCGTGAAACCGCGTTTTATAAGCCGCTCGCCCCTGACCCTCGACCCAGGAGAGCATGCTCGTCTATTAATCGTCAACTCGTGAAGCAGTTAGAAAAGTCTGATCAACTCTAAATGGAGACAGGACCCAGCCTTCATGGGTCTTCGGGACACAAAGGCAGCTTCTGATCCCTCATTGCCCCCCCCATGACACTTTGTCCAAACCCCTTATCTGGTGGTCTCATTCAACATCAATAGCATATTGAGAAGTTGGGTTTAACATTCAAAAGCTTCGGCGATCTTGTTAGTAAAGCGTGAAATAGGTCCGTCCCTTTCTGTCTCTGTGTCTCATTCCTTTCTTTGCCCCCCCCCCACCCCTTTACTGGGGGTCTGAATGAGGGGGCATTCTACTCCCACACAATAGACTTCTTCAGCATTTCTTCTGTTATTGATCTGAATGGGTGAGAGTGAGGGGCTAAACTTTAGACATCTGGTTCTTTGATGGGTGGGTGGGGGTGGGGGGGGGGGGTGGGTGGGGGGGGGGGGGGGGGGGGGGCAGGGCGCTTGGTGCCAAGGCAGTATGTGTCGTATGATGTGAAGTAGAGAAGACGGGGGTGGCGGGGGACACTTTTATTCTCTTTTGCTGAAGAGCCCAACTTTTTGCATTAATTTACTCTAACAAGTTGATGAGTTAAACCAGTCTTTTTGCTTTCTTATTTGTGCTTTGATTAAAAATCGATCTTCATTAATGACTTCTCAAGGTAAGACGTGGTCTTATGAGTTCAGTTTAGCACACTGACACAACTTGACTTTCAAGAAAGTGAAAAAACGTCTTGTTTTTACAGACATTTCGCTGCAAAAACAGCACTACTTGAAATAAGGTAAATATTCTTAAATATGGTCAACTTTTCATGTTGTGAGTAAAAACAACCCAACGGGGTAAGCAAAAGTTGCTTGTCTGGAATAGTTCAAACTAGCATATTAATCTAAAGGCTAGTTTTCTTCGTCGTCTGTGTCGGTACGGAGACACACAAACACCATCATCCAATCGTTGCAAGGACAGGCAGAGTAGAGCTATTCGTTAGCAGAGACCGCAAGCCTGTGATTGGTCAGGACACAGCTTCCTTTAAGTTCATCAACAGAAACGCTGTTCCCCCTAAAAACAAAATAAAACGAGAACCGAACATATGGAGCGACAGACAGGTTAAAGAAGGTCTCGTGGAAAAAGTTATGTACCCACAACTGAAGGAGTACAAAGATACACAATAAACTCTTTATTTGTGTCAGGAAATGTGAGTTTAGAGGTGGTGACTGAATAGAGAGGTGGAGGACATATTTGTCCGTGTTAAAAGTCTCTGAAATACGTAAACACACTAGAGATGTGACTGTGATGCTGGGAGGATACCCTAGAACAGTGCTACACCCTCTGCTGTCCTGGTGGAGAATCACGTCTTAAACACACACCTGATAGACCAACAGAGAAGTATAAAAGGAAAATGTCTCCATCAAAACGTGTGTGTGTGTGTGTGTGTGTGTGTGTGTGTGTGTGTGTGTGTGTGTGTGTGTGTGTGTGTGTGTGTGTGTGTACGGAGGATTATCAAGTATGCTTAACTGGCTTGTGCCTTTAAACTAGACACAATGAAGAAACAGTAAATGCAAATGAATCATAATCCTTATGAATACCAACTGCATTTGATGCATACAGGTCGATGTTAGGAAAACTAAATGAACAATAATTGTGTCTAGTGGAAAGGTACGTGGCAAATTTAAGAATAGTCATCTGAATATTTACCTGTTATTCAAGTAGTGCTGTTTTGCAGTGTAAGAAAATATTTTGTTTTAGAAAAAAATAAAACCACCATTAAATGTCTGTAAACAAGACTGAAACACATTTGAATTCACATCCTCTGCGTAGCCTGGAGGACACCACTTTTTTAAAGGTTTCTGACCCATGACTGACCTTGTTCTCGTTCTCTTCTCTGCAGACAGTAGAGAGAAGAAGAGCCCTGCCATGCCCGGTTCGCCTGTGGATGCTAAGACTCATTCCAGATCGGCCCCCAGCAGCAGCACCAGCTCCACTATGCCACCCCTGCCCTCCGTTAACCCCAGTGGCCCTCGACCGGCCTCATTTTCCACCACAGTGTGTAAGACCATTTAAATATCTCCATTTTTGTCCATTTTCCTAAACAGATTTTCATATTTATACCCTAAAACAGCTTTTTGTTACTGGTTTCTTTATTGAACAAGGCATATGTTTACCCACCAAAGCTGAGAACATGGACTCCTAATTTCAGCCTTCTTTACCTGCCCTCTCCTCCCCAGTGACCAATGGGAATCATCATTCCCCACCAACCCTGAACGCAGTGCCCTCTCCGCCACAGCGCTACAGCAATGGACCATCCTCCTCCTCTTCCTCATCACTAGCTAATCAACAGCTGCCGGCCACCTGTGGAGCTCGCCAGCTGAGCAAGCTGAAGCGTTTCCTGACCACGCTGCAGCAGTTTGGCAACGACATCTCTCCAGAGATTGGAGACAGTGTCAGAAGCCTTGTGCTGGCTCTTGTGGTAAAGTTCTTTGATGTATTTTTATTTATTTATTTTTTGCAAAACAGGGAAAAAGAAGAAGACAAGTTTGTAGAAATTCAAATTTTCATTCATTTTTTTGTCTCTCATCTACTAGAATTCTACAGTTACCATAGAGGAGTTTCACTCACGACTCCAGGAAGCCACCAACTTCCCCCTGCGACCTTTTGTTATTCCTTTTCTAAAGGTAGGTCTACCTTTCCCTCGGGGATAGGATCCAGACCGCTGGGTGGTTTTAACAAGTGCTTCTGCAGTTTTCTGATCTGATTTCTAATTAATGGTTTAAATAAAATAAAAAACGGATGATTTTTTTCCTTCCAGCTTGTTAAGCTGCAGACGAGTGTGTGTTAAACAGTTCCTTTGTACCAGAGGAGTCTGCAACGACATACTTTTTAGGAGCACCCCTCGCTAAAGAAGCCCATAAATCTTCCCTGAGTTGAGCCGCTGTTCTTTAAACACTGAATCTCTTTTTCCACTCTTTACTTCTTACTTACCTTTGGAGCCCCTCCATCTGTGTCTGAGGCTCAAGACAAGAATCCTCTGTTCACCTATTTCTACTTATTTATGACACGAGCGCGCTCTCCCCCTCAGCTTAACTCTAAATCTTGGAGAATAAGGAAGACGTGGGACAGACTTTTGTGAGGAAGAGGAAACGAGGAGGGGAGAAGGAAAAACTGGGAACTCGGAAGTGTGAAACATGCCTATAAAGTGTTCCCTTCTGTTTTTATGGTTTCCCGCGCGCCATATGTAGCCGCTGTCCCTTTTTTTTAAAGAGCATTCAGCTTCCGAGGCACCGCCGATGGAGTTTCCGCTCCGCTGAACCCCAGAGAGCCCTGCGCTCAACTGACACACATCACACGTGTCTGCTAGCTGGGGGCCCCAGGGAGAGAGAGGGACATGCAAAGGATCATGGGAGATGGGAGTATGGGGAGTAAGCCACAGAATAAAGATTGGATTCGATGGGAGCGGGGTGTCGTTTTACAGAATCTTTAAACAACAGTTTAAAGCGCTCTCTCATAGGATGAGGTCAGACATAAAACGAGAAGGGGACGGGTATTTATTTGGTTGCTCGTGGAGAGGGAGCAGAAGGGGGCGAGGAAGTGGTGTAATTGCAAACACACTGGAGCCTGTTCCTAATTAGGGAAAGGCAGGGAACAAAAGCGAGATGGAAAGATTCGGCAGACGGACGCAGATAAATATGAACACATGTATATCGAAACATAGAGGGGAGGACGGAGAAGTAGTGTGCATCATTTGTTTTGAAAAGTTTTAGAGCCTTGGTGCTATGGTGCGTACTTTGTGTGAGGGGCTTGAGCTACGTTTGAAACCGCCGTCCGTGGCAGCTCTGCTGTTTAATTTGAATTAGGGAAGCCACAGAACAGCACCCAGACCCAAGTGGAGCTCCCCGTTTAAAAACCAGTTTTCTTCTTCACTTTGTAACTCTTAAGCCACATTTATGGGACCCACACCAATCTGGACTGTTTTTGTAAATTTGACATCCCTCCACATTCAAACTAAGTCCACAGTGGAAGTTTCTGCCATGTTTCTGGTATTAGGATCAGTCGAGTAATCTGCAGAAATATTATTTGACTTCATCAATAGGCAAACCTTCCCCTGCTGCAACGGGAGCTACTCCACTGTGCACGTGCAGCCAAGCAGACCCCAGCTCAGTACCTGTCCCAACACGAGCACCTCCTGCTCAGCACCACTCTCACCTCTTCTCCAGACTCGTCGGAGCTGCTGATGGAGCCTCCTGAGCCGGGGACCAAGAGGCACAGCCCCAGCAGGTTAAACAGCCACACCAAACCCACTCTTGTCTACACATACATTTAGAATAAGATGGCAGAAAAAAAAGAAATCCAGACTTTATTTAGGATTTGTCTTCTTCTGCTCAGAGTCAAAGAGAATGGTTTCCACGAGCGCCCGCCAGCAGCCCTGGAGCCTGCGGCCAAACGGATCTGCACCATCAGCCCCGCTCCTCGACACAGCCCCGCTCACCCGCTACCTCTCGCTGCCCAGCTCCACCCGACACCTCCGCCCTTGCAACATTACGCCCTGGATGACATCGCAGCACCACACATCTTGCACCGAGAGCACAGCCAGCGTGCGCTGGAGATCCGTGAGCTGAAGGACAGGCCCAGACTCCCTGGTAGGTGCTAAACATACAGGCAGGCAGGCAATGAGATAATATCCTCACAGAAGGATGGCTTCAGAGAAGAGTACCATAGCTCCAAATAGGGATTAAAGATGCAGGGTGTGGCTAATAGTGACATCTTGTGGTCAGGTTAAAGATGAGAACAATCTCTAGTCTTATCCAAGTTGCTCTGGAGTCACAGAACGTTGCGCGCTAGCATGATGTCGACGCCAAAACAACCAAAACAAAGCGGAGACTCACCTCTTACATCAGGAAGAATCGCTTTTCCGGTTCGCGCTTCACTTATTTTACAGGAACGGCCCAAAATGATCTCCTAATACATGGATGTGTTGCTTCCTGATCATGTGACGTGTGACTTATGCGGATGAAGATCGGCTTCAGGGCTGAGATGTTAGTTCTCTCAGCGCGGGGGCTCGTTCTGATGCTCAAACAGTACAAAAATGCCAATGACGACAGTCGTCATTGGCAGTGAGCGGTTGGATCTAAAATGACGACTTTAGTCGTCAATGGCAGTGAATGAGTTAATGATGAGAGGTAAGTGAAAAGGAATAGAAGTGAAACGAGTGAATGTGAATGCACATCCGTTCTGAGAATTTACCAGTTAAACAACCACTAATATGCATTTATGCATTGTCTTGTGTGATTTTAGACAACTATGTTGTTGCTTTAGATTCAACAGCCTCAAAATAATATAAAATCACTATTTTATTGAACTGAGGAATTATTTATCGAAATCATTTTAATTTACATTTGTACTTTTTGTTCCTTTGAATCGTTTCCCCAAGCTTTTAGAAACAAACAGTATATTAATTGACAAAACATACCTTTGTATAATTGTGAAAATTCTAAAAACACTTTTACCAGTAGCACCAATGCAATCAACCGCACACACACACAAACCCACACACACACACACACACACACACACACACACACACACACACACACACAAGTTCTACTCTGGATAATGGGTGGTCTGTGTGTTTGTGTGCCCGGGCTCGGTTAATCTCTGGAGCCCAGATATGCGTATAAACAGAGCCATACTGTCCAGGCAGGCGGGGAGGCTTGCTTCTACTCTGGTGTGGATCTGCTCTTCATTTGGGGCTTGTCAGCACTCAGTGGAAACAGCAGTAGCTCACAGACGCACACACACACATGCACGGGAACATACACACCTCGATGTGTTCAGGGTAGAGGTGCTGTGTTTATGAGGCCTTAGTCTGTCTGACAGCCTCCCACCCGCCTGCCACCACTTAAAAAACACACACACACACACAAAAGTCTCCATGCTCATCGCTTTGAACTAATGAGTGCTGATTAGAACCAGAAACAGGAAAGATGTTGAGAAAGTGTGTGTTTTTGTTTCTTGATGCAGTGTCTATGTTTGTGGACATTGTGAAAAGATGTTTTTGACTTCCCAATCTTTGCAAACCATTAGCTTTCTTCATTGTATCATTAGACATTGCTTAAGTTCTGCAGTGATTAGAATCAGACAGGTGTGTGTGTGTGTGTGTGTGTGTGTGTGTGTGTGTGTGTGTGTGTGTGTGTGTGCGTGCGTGCGTGCGCGTGCGTGCCTGCGTGCGTGCGTGTGTGTGTGTGTGTGTGTGTAAGGCAGTGATCCACATTGAGTGTCAGGCCGCCTGGTTGTGTTTAGAAGTGGAGCCACTCCACTCAGCCTGAGTGTCTCTCTACTGGAATGTTGTGAGCTCCAGGAGGGGAGTTGCCATGGGAGGCGTGTGTGTGTGTGTGTGTGTGTGTGTGTGTGTGTGTGTGTGTGTGTGTGTGTGTGTGTGTGTGTGTGTGTGTGTGTGTGTGTGTGTGTGTGTGTGTGTGTGTGTGTGTGTGTGTGTGTGTGTGTGTGTGTGAGTGTGAGACAGCTGACCTCCAGATGTGTGCAGAGAGTCTGCTTTGCATCACAGGTTTCCCCTTTTCCCTTTCATTCCTCTTTTGTCGCTTATAACCCAGTCATCTTCTGGATTTTCTTTTTTTTTTGGCTGCAACAACTTCCCATCATTCCTGTCAGTATTTTTTCATCTTTTATTTAGGTCATTAGGGCACTTGAGCAAAGTTTACACAGTGTTTATTTTGCGCTCTAACATTTGTTCTCAATAAAACCAACTAAACGTTTATTTTTTATCATCTGTAAAAGTCCCAGCTTACTCACAGACAACAAATCTGTCACTCACTGTCACTTTGTGGCTTCTTCTGTGTTCAAAGGAATGTTAATCACGCTGGCCTGCCGTCTGTCTTGTGTGTGTGTATGTGTTTTAATCAGGCACTAATGGGGGCTACCGAGAGGAGCCGGTGGACCACAGGCTGACGGACAGAGAGTGGGCTGATGAATGGAGGCATCTGGACCATGTAAGTCTGCAGACAGGCACCAGTTTGTGATAGAGGAGGAATGTCATTTATTTGACTGGATCTGAGCAATAACATCTCATTTTCTTGAAATGAATGATAAAAAGACATCTATAGGGTTTGGGTTGTAAATCTGTGAAGAATTTGTCTTTTTTATGTCCCTCAAAAAGATTCTCTTCTGGCCTTTTCATGTGTAGAAGTCTTAAATAATTACCTCACACACTGTTTAAAGAGTCCCGAGAGACCTTTGTTTAGCTTTTCGTAATTGTTCTTTGCATTCAAATACATAGAAGAAAATGTATAAATAAATAGTGTGATAAATTGTGAAATTAATGTAAATCACTGGAAATTTGTTCAGTGGTGCACCCAGAAAAACTTTATGGGGGGCCAGTGAAAACTTTGGGGTGGCACACCAAATTGGTCCCCAAGGTAACGTTGGAAGAGTTTAGCCTGTAGCTCTGATTTGCATTGCTCCTTTATTCGTTTTTATTTACGTCAAATTTGAGAAACAATACAGAAAAATATAGTTATTTTAGTTTTTGTTTAAAATGTTATTGCTTCAGAATTTTTTAACCTTTTACTTAGCTCGTCGCTGTTTCAATGAAAATATCACCTTTAGTTGGGATTTAACAGTTATATGAAGTCTAAAAGTAAAACCCTGTCTCATTCTGTAGGTGTTAAACTGTATTGTGGACATGGTGGAAAAAACACGGAGGTCAGTGAGCGTGCTCAGGCGATGCCAGGAGGCGGATCGAGAGGAGCTGAACTACTGGAGACGGCGTTCAAGTGAGCAGGACGACCTGCGCAAAGGAGGCTCGGGATCTGCTCCATTTTCCAAAACTCACAGTCCCCTCTCCACAGAGTCGGGTAGGAGAAATTTAAAACCGTAAATAACTTAAATGAATATTTGAAAGCTTGTGCTGTAAGAGAGGCTCCTGTGCCTTGCTCATGACTTCATCTAGTGGGCGATGCTAGAACTGCACCCATAAAGTCACACATCCTTGACTGAGAGAGTCCTAACACAGTTAGTCCCCCAGTCTGCTGTGTACTGGCAGTGTTCTAGCTGTATGCCAGCCTCGCCATCCCCCTGCTGCTCCATAGTCACAAACAGGTGCCAGGACTGGCCTCCGCCATATCGGCCACAGAAGGGCCGTCCTGCCGTCCTGCAGGCTCAGAGACCCAGAGCTGGCTGACTCGCCAGAGCACCATCTGGGCCCACAGCCGGAGAGCCTGCCTGCCTGGGCTCGGGCAGTAGGTGCGTGTATGAAGGCTTGTTGGAAACGAGGGAATGTAAATGAAGGGAAGGGAAGACAGAAATGGGGGAAATGAGGGAATGGGGCCAGTCAGCAGTGCTGGAAAGACGAAGCCCAGAAGCGACACAGAAGTAGAACGAGACGTGGGGAGAGAAATCTGAGCGAACAGTCGGAATATTGACACATCTTGCTGGTCTGCACTTCCCTCCAAGCCAAACACATTCCTTTGCAAAGCTGTCAGATGTCGGATCAGTCCAAGAATCCGACAACCAATAATTACGTACATCTCAAACGTGCAGACATGTTTGCATCGGTGACAAAATGAACAAGTTGGTGAAAAATAAATTGCGCGTACCTGCGAGGCTTTTCTTTGCCACTTTGATTGAGCTGCCGGTCTGAAAGGCAACAATTATTTCAAACATAAAGCTATTCTTGTTTTTATCCTGGCAGGTGTTTATTCCCTCTGTTTGTGCTTTTTCCCACAGAGTCCCAGCGTGACTTTGCTCCACGGCCAGGCTCGGCATACGTTACAGATGAGATCTGGAGGAAAGCTGGTGAGAAAATGTCTGCTAATAAACAAAAATGTTCAGTTTTCCTTGACACAACAATAACTGCTTTGAGGTTTTCTGCAGAGTGCTAAATGCTAGCGTTTTCTCTCTTGTGCAGAAGAGGCGGTGAATGAAGTGAAGCGTCAGGCCATGGACGAAGTTCAGAAAGCGGTGGCGGAGGCCGAGCAGAAGGCTTTTGAGATGATTGCAGCAGAGAGGGCGAAGATGGAGAAGACTCTGGCCGAGGCCAAGAGGAAAGCTCAAGAAGATGCCATCATGGTCATCAATGAGCAGGAGGATTCTAGTGAGGTGAGCAGGAACAAGACAAATGTTCATTTAAGGCTGCCAATTAAAATGATCAGGAATTAAAATTTTTATTCGTTTTCTTATTTCCAGCAGATTTTTCTTAAATAACCATTTTCTTCTTCTAAGGTAAACAAAAGAAATTCTTGGATAAGACATCCGATTTGAAACCAACTCTAGACTACACAGATCAGTGAACCTCAACTGGCGGCCCACGGGCCACATCCAGACCTTTCCAACCACCCAACCCCCACCCTTTGGGCCCGAACACCCCTAACCCCCAAATTCCACTACCTCCGCTCCGCTCCGACACGAACGCCGGAGCAAAATCGGTCCCATTGAGGTCAATCAGAGCAATTTCACTACTGCGGCTGTGTTCTGGCAGTGCGGCGCCGTGCGGCGCCCTCTGTTCCGGCGTCCAGCAAAAATAGAATCGATCCTATTTTTGCCGGACGCCGGAGCACCTCCGCAGTAAATGGACAGAAATCACAACTGCCCAACAGGAAAAGGAGCAAGCACAACTTCCGTTTTTCACAATAAATCGATAAACAAAAGGCGCTTTTTGTTTCATATGCACAGGTTTAACAACTTTTAACAACTATCAATGGCGACTGAAGTTTAAATGCACAAAAATAAGCCATAAATACAGTTTCTACTATCAAAGTAGTCACACTTTGTTGATCCAAACACTGCTGATCTCTCAACACAAAAGATGGGCAGATTAAACAGCTCATGCCGATGCTTCTCCCACACAACGGGTGTTTGGATCTAACTTCCGCGTTTATTGCTCGGACTGTATCGCAAGATCTCGAAAATCCCGCACATGCTTGTTTGCCCCCCTCAGGTCTCCGCACCGGAGCGGAGCCGTTGTATAGCGGGTACCAGTAAAAATTGAGTTTGGAAGCGAGCGGCTGCGGAAGGCGGGGGCGGAGCGGAGCGGAGGTAGTGGAATTTGGGGGTCAATTGGAGGACTTTGAAGTTTAGCAGCAAAATTCATGTCCCAAATATCCATTAATTGTTTACGTTCTCCAAACACAACGAAAACTACAATCAAAACACTTTAGATGGAAAAGAAAACCATTTTAAATATTAACTAATACATTAAGAAATAATAATACGTGAACTTTATTTTAAAAGAGCATCTGGCCCTCACGGTGTCTGCTAGAAAAAACTCCTTTGAACAAATTTAGTTGAGGACCCCTGAACGTTACAGAGGAGGAATAAAAGGAAAATCTTATAGTTTTATTATTTTAAAGGTGGGGTAGATTATTCTGGGAAAAACCTTTTTATCTACTTAATAAAACAAATTTCAAAGGCCCAACCCTCTTTCTCTTGGCTCCTCCCCTTTTAATCACGCTCCCCAAATACAGGAGAATGCCAAACGTAATGGATATCATCAGTTCACCATAAAAATGTAACTTTGTCTTACCGTATCAACCCATTGTTGGCACATTTTCTGCCATAATACTTCATCACACACCTGAGTTACTTCCACAGAGCCTCCAGACTTCTGACGGACCCGTCATAGTCTGGAGTGGATCAGGAGTCCTCTGGACTCTTGCCCTGCTGAAGGTTTAAGAGAAAAAGCCACTGGGACCTAAATCAGAGACCTAGCATGGAGGACTGGGGTTATTACACTGGAAACCCCCTCTGCTACATCTGCTCAGGCTATGTAACCATAGCTAAGCTTCGCTTCCTGTTAAAATGATCCATGCCAAGAATGTGCGGTCTGTGCAAAAAGAGGGGTATGTGAAGAGGGTGCAGGGGTGGTCAGAGGGCAGTTTGATGGATGGATCATGATCCAATCATTAGAATTGGATGAGGTTTTACGAAGATTGCACGTTTCAGAGGAAATTAGAAGTATTATTTTGACAAAATGTTCAATTTATTGGTATTGTGTAGCCTGTCAAGCAATATGGCAAAAATACACTAGAAAAACAACCCCTAACCTAAAGCTACTCCACCTGTAAAGGTTCTAGGAGTTCATAAACTCTGAGGTCATCGTGCAGCAGCTTGTAAACAGAGCTTTTTTTTCTTTATTCTCCTTTAGTGCTGCTGGAACTGTGGCCGTAAAGCCAGTGAGACGTGCAGCGGCTGCAACGCTGCGCGCTACTGTGGGTCCTTCTGCCAGCACAAGGACTGGGAAAGACATCACCTCATCTGCAGCCCTGGACTTCAGGCTCAGCCCAAGCCGGTGTCTGCCATCACCGCGAGCCGGGTAGCTGCCATGACTTCAGCGACGGTGGCTGGAATGTCTCCCATCGTTGTGGCCGGAGTCAAAGCTCCAGACAGCGCGCCTTCGGTCTCCAGTCCAAACGGAGAGAAGGCTTCTGTCGCCTCTCGCTCCTCCACTCCATCCACCCCCGCCTCGGCCCCCGAGACCAACGGACATTAGAATGAGGATGATTTCAGAGCTTAACACGTCATCTATCCTCTTTGTTAACGGGGAAGAGTTGAATCAGCGGCACGAGGAAGCTATTTGTGGGTTAAGTTAGGATAACAGATTTTTTCATCATACTCTGGCAGATAATGAAAGACAGATTATGGGAGACTGTTTTGAGTGATACATCAGCTGGGACTCCGGTTTTGGCAGAGAACGAAGGGAACTGGTTTAGTAAGCATCCATTGGATGAACAGATCTCCATAACAGATGGAAACGTGTTGCTCGACGTCCAAAAGCCCAAATCCTGGATCTGTGAGGGCTGGAATGAGACTCGTCATTGATCTCAGTTTTATCTGCGTCTGCAGAAAGAAAGTTCTGAAAGTATGGTGTCAAACTCCCACAAACCAGCGCCACTCACTTTGCTGTGTTGAACTTTAGGACAGGGAGGCGGTGTTGTAAACTGTAAACTGACCCCGAAGCGTCCATCTTTGTTGTTTTAGGAACAGCAGACCACCTGACGGAGATCTCCCTGTACATAAGCATTTGGTCACCAACGTGTCGTGGGATTTTCATGTGTGTGAATGAGTCAAACGTCGTGCTGTCAGTAAATATTGTAAAAGCATATGATTATTTTTGTTAAAGCAATATTAAAAATGAAGTGTTCGAGCCGTTTCTGCATCACCAAAGTTTTCCGTTTCCTGTAAAAGTGTCTTTGTGGAAAAGAGGAAGTTTATCCGGGGAGTTCTTTCGACGTGTTCAAACAACAGAGAGGCAGTGGTTTTGTGGAAATAAACACGGAAACGTTCAGATTTCAGTTTCTTTCACAAATCAGCAGTGTTACTATAACTAGTATCTGTTTTAACGTGTCATAAATGATCCAGCACACAGGTGCGGGCACGGAGCAGCGACGGTCCCACAGAGAATCTCAGGAGCTAAACCCTTATTTGTACGTGTACAGATCTTTCTATTGTCACAGTTAGGTTCATGTTTAGTGAGGAACTTTGATCTATCTTCATCCTCTGCTGTTATGAGATGTTCTTGTTGTAAGATTGACTTTGTAAAAAAGATTAAGAAATTCCCTTTATTTTGAGCCACACCTCCTTCCCATTTGTTCTTTTAATGTGTTCTTTTGTTATGAGGCATAACGTCACATGAAAAGCTTATCTTGACATGAAGTACAGAATAAAGAAGTAGATTTACTTCAAAGAGGCCTTCGCTTTTGTTTTGTTTGATATGTAAAGGTTGGTGTTCATTTTTCATCCATCCATCGCTGGGGCAGCAGCCTAAAGCCTGGTTTATGCTTCTCCGTCAGCTCCGCAAGGGCCAGACACGCACGGATTGACAGAAGCGTTTTGCTCTCATACTTCTCCGTCTCCTGGAGAGTGTTGCAAAGCAATTGCCCGGCAGAACCACAGAGGGCGTAGCGCTGTTCTGTGGTATCCTGTCATGTATCGGTCCAAGATAGTGTGTTTATATTGTGTTTTTTGTGTATATAAGAGACTTTTAACACGGACATATTTGTCTCTCATTCTCCCACCTCTTCATGCGCTCCCCACCTCTAAACCCACGTTTCCTGTCATTTCCGTCCACAAATAAAACGCTTGCTGCGCATCTTTTCACTCCTCCAGTCACGGGAGAATTAAACGTTCATATTTTTAGAGTTTTTTGGCGAGGTATTCTTCAAACTTCTCCGTGTCTGCCGCTAGTTATCCTCGGCTCTCTTTGCAATGGCGGCGCTGTAAACAACAGCGGCGTCCTGACCAATCACAAGCTTGCGTAATCCGTCTCGTTCGACGGATGTTTAAAAAAGTGGGCTCGACTCCGTACGTACTTGCGTGCCTGCCGGAGCCCTAAGCAAGGACGGATAATAGCGTTGCGTGTCTCCGCACTGACGCAGATGGAGAAGCATAAATCAGGCTTAAGTCGAGAGGCCCAGACTTCCCTCTCCCCAGCCACTTGGGCCAGCTACTCCTGGGGAATCCCAAGGCGTTCCCTGACCAGCTGTGTGGTACATAGTCCCTACAGCGTGTCCTGGGTCTCCCTTCAGATCTCCTCCTGGTTGGATGTGCCCAGAAAACCTCACCAGGGAGGCGTCCAGGAGGCATGCCAACCAAATGCTCGAGCCACCTCGATGTGGAGGAGCAGCGGGTCTAGTCTGAGCCCCTCCCGGATGACCGATCTTCTCACCCTATCTCTAAGGGAGAGCCCATCCATCCTGTGGAGAAAACTCATTTCGGCCGCTTGTATCGTTCTTTCGGTCACCACCCAAAGCTCGCGACCATAGGTGAGGGTAGGAACGTAGATCGACCGGTAAATCGTGAGCTTCGTCTCCTGGCTCAGCTCTCTCTTCACCAGGACAGCCTGGTACAACGCCCGCATCACTGCAGACTCAGCACTAATCTGCCAATCGATCTCGTGCTTCAGCTTTCCCTCACTCGTGAGCAAGACCCCGAGATACTTACACTCCTCCACTTGGGGCAGGACCTCATCCCTGACCTGGAGAAGGTATTTATACTTTTCCAATGCAAGACCATGGTCTCAGATTTCAAGGAGCTGATTCTCATCCCAGCTGCTTCACACTCGGCTGCGAACCGCTCTAGCAAAAGCCGATCACGTTCTGATGAAGCCAACAGGACCACATCATCTGCAAAAAGCAGAAACTCAATCCTTGGGCCACCAAAAAGGATCCCCTCAACACCTTGGCTGTGCCTAGAAATCCTGTCCATAAAAGTTACGAACAGAATTGGTGACAAAGGAGGAGTCGCTAGCATTAACCAAAACCTGTCTGCAACAAAAGGTACAAACAAATCTACTACACTGGTTAGAAAAGAATTAAAGCAATTGAGTCAATTATGATTACACCTCAGTGCAAGTCAAATTCATCCAATTAAAGACTTAAGTTCAATTAAATACAAGGACAGGTTTGAATGAGACTATGTGTGTTTACTTCTTAATTTAATTTTCTATTTTTCTTTCATTGTTCAAATTGTCATATTTGTTCTACTTCCTTTTCTCTAAGTGTGTGCTGCTGAGTGAATTTCCCCTCTGTGGGATTAATAAAATCTTTTCTAATCTAATTCTTGTGTCCGTTTGACACGAGGAACTGCAAACATCGGATGATCAAAAAATCTCAATGCCATTTGTTCCCCTGAGAAATTCCTTCAGGTGTAACGGAGACAAACCAACAATTGCTTTATTTAACAACCAGTGAGTGTGTTGTCTTGTAGTTAGAGATATGTCAGATATAACACATAAATCACAATAGTGAGTTAGGTAGGTGGTTGCCATATTGGTGCACTGTGCTATCAAATGTTAGTGGTGCTTATCTACAGGTCGTCAGGGTTTCTGAATGTTTCTCAAAAGGGTTTCACTCATCTTCTGTCCGCCTCTTGCACTTTTTATTTCACTTATCAAAACATGAGCAATACCTAAGAATTGTGCTTTTAGGAAACAAGAAAAAGTCCGGTTTGATCATCTTTGTCATATTTTACTCTATAAACGCTTCGAGAATCATTTAATTGCAAAAAAAATATTCTGCACATAAAACCAGCATAAAACTGAGTTACCTTTGGTAGTTTTTATTATCAATTCAGCTCAAGAAATTGGAAAATTACAAAAATCGTCTGAGGACAGATGACTATAAAATGATGAATTAGTGTGTTTAAATATCATAAATGTGAGTTTTTATATTAAATAAACCTGATTAACGTATCATCTCACAAACAGTCTATAATAGGACTGAAAATACAGAAGGGTGGGGCGGGATTGCATTCAAAATCCACTCTCTAAATTTTGCATCCTTTTTGTCGCTCTAACGTTGTGAATCATTTAGTAGCTTCTTATTAAAAATGCAGGAAGCACCTTTGAATTCTAATGTGAGGATGTGAGGGGGCTTTGGTAGAAGGACGGAGTAGAAATTATGTCATATATAAGATATTTACAGTCATTTCTGGTAAGAGTTCATCTGTTGTCATAGTAACCCTATTCACATTTCACAGTAAAGAACCTAAACATTCAATAAATAAGTAGATGAAGATGTAAGACCATGAGTTACCACTAGATGGCAGTAGATGACACGAGTTAAGACCGACTAGTAATCATCTGACTGATTCAATTTTTTGTGTTCAAAACATTTTTTAATATTAAAAAAGTTATTGTTTTTAGCCCTTAATTGTTCATCAGATGGTTTAAATAAAGATGATTACATTAACAACAGAGCTTGTTGGATAAAAACTGTATTGGATGTATGGATGTATGGAAATGATTTTGTCTGGGTACCATCTGGTGTTTTTTTAATTCAAACGAAGGTTCCTGCCTTGTTCATATTTTGTTATTATTCTGTGCCTCCGGCAGGGAAGTTCGACCTTGTAAGTCTGCAGTTCTGTTATCACCAAAAGCTCCCTAGTGAAGTCCAGACGGAGCGTTTCTCTGTTATACCAAGAACCTGGGAAAGTTTGCTTTCTGTGAAGGGGGTGGGTGTGTTTATCTTTAATGTGTGTGTGCTATGTTACTTTTGAATAAAACCTTTTTGCGAGCTTCTGCTCGTCGAGAGACCAAACAGATATTCCATTGGTGTGTATCTTCATTCTCTTCGATTTTGCAAAGTCTGGTTGTTGATTGTTGGTGAATGGTATTGATAACCCAAAACCTAATATCTCTAACCCCCTTGTGTGTGTTGGACTTTCTTTGAGGTGATCCTGGATTGACTAAATAAAAATACCCAACAGAGCTATCCTTCCATTATCTTTGCCACTAGCAACAGTGCTACCAACTGCACCACCATGCAGTCCAACATTAGATCCCAAAAAATGAAATATTTATTAAAACAGGCCATCAAAACTGAAACCTTTATTGGTCAAATCATAGAGAAAATAATAAAATAAAAGGGGCTACAAAGTGGTGCAAAACATGCATGTCCGAGTTATTGGAGTCTCTAAATTGTCCCTAGGTGGGAGTGTCCCTGTGAAAGACTGGAGATCTGTCCATCCTGTCCTCGCCTCTCACACAATGACTGCTGGAGTAAGACACCAGCTGCCCTTGACCCTAGTGAGCATGAAGTGGTTTAGATACAGTGAAAAAATAAATAGATTTTATTTAAGGAGTTTAAGTATCTCGGAGTCTTGTTCAGAAAATTTGGGAAAGATGGAGCAGGAAATCTACAGGCAGATTGGTGCTGCGTCTGCAGTGATGCGAGTGTTGTACCGGTCTGTCGTGGTGAGGAGAGCTGGCAGAAGGCAAAGCTCTTGATTTACCAGTCGATCTACGTTCTAACCCTCATCTACGGTCAGGAGCTTTGTGTAGTGACCGAGAGAATGAGACAGTGGAAAGAAGAAGGGGCCAAAAAGAGTTTTCTCTGCAGGGTGTCTAGGTTTTCGCTTAGAGATAGGGTGAGAAGCTTGGCCATCTAGGAGGGGCTCAGAGTAGATCCGCTGCTCCTCCACATTGAAGAAGAGTTGAGGTGGCTTGGGCATCTCGTTAGGATGTGTTCTGGACACCTCCCTGGTGAGGTCTTCAGTCACGTTCAACCAGGAGGAGACCTAAAGGGAGACCCAGGACACATTGGAGGGACTATGTCTCTCGGCTGGCCAGGGAACACCTTGGGATTCCCCCAGAGGAGCTGGCTCAAGGGGAGAGGGAAGTCTGGGCCTCCCTACTTAGGCTGCTGCCCCTGTGACGAGACCCCAGATAAGCATATGAAGATGGATGGATGGATGGATGGATGGATGGATGGATGGATGGATTAGGCCTACACGTTGTTCTCAGAAAGTCTCTAAATGTATTTTTGCTGTTACTTCACGTTGATTAAACAAATTATTAAGGGTTTGAGAATTCTACAAACGATTTATGACTCATTTGTTCTACAGATATAACAGTGCCAGTTCTGGTCTCAGTGTTGCAGCAGGACTGGTGATTTATTTTTAAGTGAAGTTAGTCACATCACAAGATTTCAAATCTTTTATATATATCTAAAAATTTGGGTCTAAAAGAAACTGAGTTTAGTTTGTGTTAATTGTGTGGAACTGTTTGTACGTTTGTGTGACCCTGTCTGTGATTTAATTATGTTCTTTTCTGCATTGCCAATCTTTTATTTTGGTTCATCACGCTGGTGCCAAAAGTCTGTTCAGAGCAGAAGTGGAGTCAGCAAACTGCGACAGTTGTGTTTGTTCCAGTTTGTGGTGTTTTTTTTTTTTTTTTGGTGATTAGCAGGC